CTTGTTCAGATCTCTTCTTTGTTTAGGTTTTTATTCTCAATTTAACTGCCACTATGGTGTGGTCTGCTCCCACTTCTGCCCCATTCATGCCATATACATCTTCTACAGTTCTTTTCCATTTGTTCCGAATTACAATGTGATCAATTTAGTTCCCTGTTCTGTCATCTGGCAACCTCCAAGTTATCTTATGAATAATATGGGGATAGTTCCTCCAATAATCAGGTTGTACATTCCACAAAAATCAGCAAATGTTTCACCATTTTTGTTCATTTCACTGAGGCCTTGTTTCCCAATAATTACTTCCCTGCCAATGTAGTTGCTCCCTACTGGAGAATTCATATCTACAATTACTAGGAGGGTATCTCTTTTCAGAACCTAGTCTATTAAATTCGGTAGCTGCTCATAGAAGTTTTCTTTTTCCTCTTGGCTAGTTTGATTTGTTGGAGCATAACATTGAATAATGGACACTTTCTGGAAATTTGATGCAAATCATACTGTTATAATCCCTTCTGAAACTGGTGACTATTCTTTTGGCCTTGATAGTATCAGACCCACACCATCTCTTTGTATGTCACTAGCATTCGGTAGCCCAGAATATAGTAGGATGCGTTCAGTTGACAAAGTTATTTGTTCCCACTCTGATCTCACTTAGGCTTAGTATATGTAGTTTATATCTGTCCATTTTTGTCTAAAGGAAAGCATACAATTTAGTCTATATTGATTTGCCTAGGTCAATAATGACATTCAGTTTTATCATGTGAAATCATTAGCTGCTCTGCAAAACATATTCTGGGTTTAACTACCCTGTGCTCACATTCACTTTACATAATAAATATCTCTATCAAATAATTATTTTGTTCATAATTAATAATAAATATCTGTGTATAGATGTCCATGTCTGAAGGCTTCTGATCATGTTAAAAATTCACTGAGAAGGTAATTTACAATAAATACATGGAATGCCGCATTAAGTTACAGAGCAAAAAGACTGTCCTACAACACTAACAATTCTAAAATCTTGTTGAGATTAAAGAACTTTTTAAAAAAGAGGGTACATAATAATTTGAATCCCTTAGAAAATATTTTAAAATTCTATGTTCAGAGTAATGCCCGGATATTTAAACAACACAATATTAGAATTCTAACACCTTGGAAACTAGAATATTAGAGGTGAACAAAGTCATAATATAGTGAAACCCAAGCACTAAAGAATTATTGTTCCAGGTGCACATAGGTAATAATACAAGGACTTAAATTAAATGGAAAATTTATCAAAAAACAAAATCACAAGAGAAAGACAAAGGATTATTCACAGGTGGTGAAACAACCACTAATATAACCTATCTCAAAAAAGAAATAAAGCATGCCGGAGAGATTGGACATTTTGAAAGCAATGGCAGAAACGGCAAGCAACCAGTTTGGTGTCAAACACTCTGTCAGAAAGACCACCGGAAAATGAATGTGTAACAGGAGAGGTGCCAAGGCATAATCGGTATACATTTCAGATGGACAGCAAGAATCAGAAACTTAAACTGCTGAAAGGGCAACTGCCACATGAGATTTTTATCTTTAATAAGTTTCCCCTAGAAAACAGTGTGGAAGATCTATTACACCAGGAATTATGATACTATCTACCAATTAGGTTGCTGATGGATCAGGCAACATGGAGAGTAAACTGCACAATAGGAATACAATAAGCTCGGCAGACACACAGGTCCACTAGAAAACAAATCTTCAGGTCGATGTAAAGAAAACTACATATATTTAGGAACACAGGAAAGTTGGGTTTTGATATGAATTTTTCAGAACCTATAAGCTGTTAGAGCAAATCAGTGAGAAATTTACCTAGTGGATTCCAATAACTGTTTTTTAGCAAAGATGAATTTATGGAGGGTGATCAATATGATGGACAGCACTGCGTAAAACATATCCATGCAAAGAGTATTAAGATAAAAAAAATAGTTACAAGTACTGGTGCCTTTAATCCAACAAAGAGATCATAATCTAAGGGATGATATCAAGCATGCATCAGAAAAAAGACTCAAAATATTTTTGGATTTTGCTGTCTATGTTAGAGAAAAAAATGCACCCGAGATTTTCAGCAGTTGATGTCAATTGCATGTTTATTATTTTTTTCACGAGGAGTATCACTGAAGAATGTGAAACTATATGCAACCCCCACACATATGCAGTGGGTTACACATAGAATATTGTTTCTGGTTATGTCAAAAATCCATTCAGAAACAAGGATGTTGTTATAGATTACTGTCTATGTTGTTCAATTTCTTTACCAGGAAAATCCAACCAAAATCCAGCATTCTGTCTATATTATTTTTCTATGTATTCAGAGAAAGAAAACTTAAAAGATATTTTACTGTACTATTTGAGAAATGATATATAATCACGTAATTAAAGACAGTTTCATAATGCAAAGACACAAAAAAGACTGTTAAGGTTGTGCACGTAACAGTAATTCTGACATTTCCTGATATTTGAGTACTTAATCCTAACATTTTTAACAGAATTTTCTAGTTTTGGTTTTTAAGGAAAAAAGAAACAAAAATAAAGATGCTTTTCAAGATTTTGAAGGTAAACTAAGCTAAATTAGTTAAACAGTTTGTTAGTAGTGAGTGTCTACTTTCCATAACAAACAGTTACTTACTATAACTGTGGTTCTTGAAGATGTGATGCAGACATGTATTCCACTTAGGTGTGTGCACCTCCAGTCACCAGAGGCAGAGAATTTTGCAGTACTCATATGGGGAGGAGGGCGGGCGGGGGGGAGCTTAGAGCAGTACCCGTACAGGGGTGGCTCTGATGCCTCATGGCCATAGCCTCTCCACTGTCTATATGAGGCAGTGCTGCCCCCACCCCCCTCAGTTCCTTCACACCGGATGCCCAGAGACTAGCCTAGGATGCAGAGAGGATGGAGGGCAGGTCGTGGCATACACACCTGCATCACATCTCAAAGAACCACAGTTACAGTAAATGACCATTTCGACTTCTTTGTGTAGATGCAGTTGTGTATTCCACTTAGGTGACTCACAAGCAGTACCCACAGGAGGTGGAGCTCAGAGTCTATTTAAATGAGGACTGCAGGACCACTTTCCCAAAGTTTGCATCTGCAGTGGATGCTGCGATAATGACATAGTGGTTTGTAAAAGTATGTATGGACAACCATGTAGCAACCCTGCAAATATCCAATATTAAAACGTCACTTAAGAAAGCTACTGACGTAGCTTGCACTCTCATAGAATGAACCAGTAGCTACCGAGGGGGTGCAGACGCAGCTATTTCGTATGTAGTTTTGATACAGGACATGATCCAGTTAAGAGATCATCTGTGAGAAGACTGCTTGTCCCTTCATACAGTCAGCATATCACACAAACAGACGAGGCGAAGTAGAAGACTAGACATCATTGGACGTCTAATGTGTGGAGGTGCTGTTTTTCCAGGTATGAATGTGGCTTAAGAAAAAAACAGGTAAATATACCTTGTGGTTCAAAAGAAACTGAGAGACCACTTTAGACACAAACTTTGGGTGTGGCCGCAATGTCACTTTGAACCAGAAAGTACCAGGGATAAAAATCTTGACCCTGGTGTTCCAGAGGAATCTCCTCCACCACTCCCAAAGCCAGTACAGGCTGGATCTGCTCGAGGAGTAGTATCTTGTCCCTGAAGAGGGACAGGGAGGGAGAGTAGGAGTGGAAAGGAACTGGATGGCATAGCCTAATCTGATGGTGCTTAGGACTCAGCTGTCAGTGGTAATCAAGCCCCAAACATTGAAAACAAGCTAGCCTGTCCCTAAATGAAGGGGATGGAAGTGATGACTGGACCACTGCTCTGGACAAACGAGTCAAAATGTGCACTTAGGGGGTACCTAGGGAGGACATGTTAACTGGCCAAACCCAAGACCCAAATGCCTCTGCCTCTGAGATCTATGCCCCATTCTGATGTAGACCCGCTGTCTCAGAGGAAGGAACAACTGCCCAAATGGGAGTTATGGGGTGGTATTGTTGTTGCTTCTGTTGTTGACCACCATAATGGCGCCTTTGCACTGCCGGTGTATACAACCCCAAGGATCATAGTGTAGCTCTAGAATCCTTGAAAGAATGCAGAGTTTCGTCCATTTTGTCTGAAAAAAGCAGCCGACCATTGAAGGACAAGTCCCCTATAGCCTGTTGCATGTAGACAGCAATGCCCAAATTCTGCAGACAGGATGCCCTTCTAGTGGTCAGCGTGGATGCCCTCACTCTGGCTGAAGTGTCTGCAATGTTTATCGTGGACTGTAACAAGGTCTTGGCCACCACGCAGCCCTCAATGATGAATGCCACAAATTCCTCCCTAGAGGTTTCAGGGAGCTGGTCTGTAAATTTAGATATGGCTATCCAATTCACAAACTCATATCTGGACAGCAATGCCGGCTGGCTAGCAATCCACATTTGCAAGGAAGAAGAGGTCTAGATCTCTCTAACCATTAAGTCCACCACCTTAGAAGCTTTGTCCTTAGGAGTGAAAAGACACTCCTGAAAAGACCATTTTCTATAAATGGTGTTCTTCGAGATGTGTTGCTCATATCCATTCAACTTAGGTGTGTGTGCTCGCCACATGCACCAGTGCTGGAAGTTTTTTCCCTCAGCAGAATCAGTAGGGCACCAGCTCCGGTACCCCCCGGAGTGGCGCACACATGTCACAGTATATGGGGTGCTGCTGGCAGTAACCTAGCTGCAGTAACCCCTCTACCTCCTGCACGAGGAGACTCTCTTGAGAAGGGTCTCTGAAGAGAGATGGGGTGGGAGGGTGGGAAGGAGGGGTAGAAAACAACTGAACAGTGTAACCCCGTGCCACTATACTGAGGACCCATCAGTCTGATGTTATAGATGCCCACGCAGGGAGGAAAGGAGAAAGGCAGTAGGCAAAAATAGAGGAGGAAAGATCCTGGGAACAGTCCGGTAGGTCACCCTCGGGCGTACTCTCAAAATGGGCCCTTGCCCACCTACTTATTGCGAGTCGAGCTCGACTGAGAAGCCTGCGAAGGCTGGTGGCTAGGATGCCACTTTTAGACTCTGGATTCCTTATGGGGAGGCTCCTGGCGAGGGTGGCTTCCTTGGTCCTGAGGCTGCTGTGGCTTGAACCGCTTGCGGGCAGGGCCGGAACATACAGGTCCGATGTTTTAAGGGTCGTGCGTGAGTCCTTGAGGCCACAGAGCTTATTGTCCGTCTGTTCCGCAAACAGGACTTGCCCATCGAAGGGAAGGTCTTGCATCGACTCCTGAGCCTCCGTGGACAAGCCAGAGAAGAGCAGCCAGGATGCCCGGCACACAGTGACAGCCGAGGCCATCGTTCAGCCGGCAGTGTCCGCCGCAACCAACACTGCCTGGAGCATGGCCCTGGCCGCAGTCATTCCCTCCCCCACGATTGCCTGGAACGCCTTCTTAGAAGCCTCAGGAACGGAGCCCTCTAACTTGGCCATGGCTTGGCACATGTTAAAGTCATAGCATCCCAGAAGGGCCTGATTGTTGGCCACCCTCAACTGGAGACTAAAGGACGAATAAGTCTTACGCCCAAACAAGTCTAGCCTCTTGGAGTCTTTATTCTTAGAGGCAGCCCCGGGTTGACACTGTCGCTCCCTGTGGTTAACCACCTCTACCACTAGGGAATTGGGAGCAGTGTGGGTGTACAGGTACTCGTGGCCTTTGGATGGCATAAAGTACTCGCGCTCAGCCCTCTTGGAGATGGATGGCAGGGAGGAGGGAATTTGCCACAGGATATTGGTGATCTTTTAGACCCCTTCATGAAGGGACAAAGCCACCCTGGCCAGTGCTGTGGAGCAGAGGACATCGAAGAGAGAGTCCGAGGGCTCCTCTAGCTCCTCCGCCTGAAGGCCCAGGTTGGTGGCGACCCTCTTCAATAGTTCCTGGTGCGCTTTAGCATCATCCAGAGGAACAAGAGGAGGGGGCCCCATTATAGCCTCATCTGGTAATGACGAAGAAGATACCAATGCTGTAGGTCTTCCACAACCATTGGTGGCCCAGTGGCTTGCTTCCCTACACCTTCTTGGACCTGCAGGGTCCTTGTGCCCGAGGCTTCGTGCACCGGAGGAGGGCAGGAGAGAGAGGCAGCTTGTCTCTCCGAGGCTCCAGACACCAAGCAGGCAGCCTGGGAGGGCTGGGTGAATTCCCATGGGTTCCATGGGTACCACGGCACCGGCCACTGTGCCTGAGCCCATGGGGCCTGTTTCGGTGCTGACAATGAAGCTGGCACTGCTGGTACTGGAGCCCGTCCCACAGTCATTCCTGAACCAGGGCAGGACCCTGAGCGGTTGCTCCCAGGTGACCAGGACAGAACTGAACAGTGGCTCTGCCCCGACTGATGCCTGTCAGTCCACCTGGAGTCTGATCTGGAAGGGGATCTTGGGGACTGGTGGTGCTCGACAGATGTGCGACGGCCTGGAGCCGGCGAACTACGTCTCGCGCTTGACGAACAGTACAGGATGAGGAGTGGGAGCGGGAGTTGGAACATCCTGCTGAGGGGTGTGTGCCTCCAGAGGTCTGTGTCCGGATGCCGGTAAGCTGTGCCTCGAGTCTCTCTGCCCAGGCCCAAGGACCAAATGGGGCTGCGCTGCATCTGTCTTTCGCGGTCAGAGGCATAGCGGCTGCAGGAGGGTGAGCGCCACTGGGATGTCCTCCACGATGGGGAACGGTGCCACTGAGGTGGGGACTGAAGCAGGACGAATGTGGGTTTACCCTGTGACTGAGGAACTGCAGGAGCCAGTGTGGGCGGCACCAGGAGGGACATGATCTCCTGCGCCGCCTGCAGGGCCTCCAGCATGGACGGTTCCCAGAGCTGGCGGAGGCCTCTACCACTATCCGGGATGGCCGGTGGGGAGCGGGCTAGGCTACACCTCTCAACCGGAGCTTGGGCCCAAGATCCCAATGTGGGTGAAGAGTTGCCCAGCATGGGACCTTGTCTTATCCTTTCCCTTGTGGGAGGCTGGAGACCAACCTTACACCATCTTCTTGGGCTTCTTTGTCAGAGCCATGGATTGGGGACCAGTGCCAGCCAGTGTCACGGTGCTTGGCAATGAGTCAGAGCGTTGCTCCGGTGCCAGGGTGAGGGCTGATTCCATAAGGAGAGCTCTTAAATGAATATCACGCTCCCTCTTAGTCCTTGGCTTGAAGGACTTGCAAATCTTGCACTTTTCATTAACGTGCCCTTCGCCCAAACAACATAGACAGCTGCCCTGTGGATCACTAACGGGCATGGACCTCTTGCAGTGATCACAGGGCTTAAAGCATGGGGACCAGGGCATGCCCTGTCCCGAGGCAAAATCCTGTTCAGGACTTACAAAGTCTCTAACTATAGTTAAGGGATTAGCTAACACTAACAGAAAACTATATACAGTATAACACAAGAATTAACAAGTTCGTATGAACGAGAAAGCAACAGTGCTAGCTGAAGCAGCAACAGTTCCAGCACCGTCACTGCAGCAAGAAGGAGCTGAGAGCTGGGGAGGGTCGGTGGCACCCTATATACCGCTACATGTGCGCACCACTCCAGGGGATGCCGGAGCCGGTCCCCCACGGATACTGCTGAGGAAAAAAACTTCTGGCACTGGTGCATGTGGCGAGCACACACACCTACGTTGAATGGATATGAGCAAGAAGAAGAACAACTTAAATCTACACTGCTGAGCCCTGTCATTCACTGAGGTTATGATCAGGGAATTAGGGACCAGGTCAGAGAAAAAGTCCTCAAAACCCCGCACCAGTACAAAGTAGAGTTTCTTTTGATGCTTCATAGTAAGTAGCACCAAAGCTGGCGTACCCCAAAGAACCTTTGCAGGCTCCAGGAGTGCATCATTAATGGGGAGGGCCACTGTCCCTGGAGCAGATGGCTTCAGGATGTCCAGGAACTTATGGATATTATCCTGAAGGAACTCTGCCTGTATGACCAGAGAAGCAGCCAGGCACCACAAAAAGTCCTGGTAGGTCTTGAAGTCCTTAGGAACTGAAGGGGAGGAAGAGCTGGGAACTGCTGAATCATCTGGGGATGACAGAGACAGTTAACTGTGATAGGGCCAGATTCCGCTCCTGAACTGGCAAACCTGGAAGTGACACCTCTGGAGGGTCCAAAAGTGGAAGGTTAACTGGTGTCTGAATTTGCGATGGGTCAATGGCCCCAGCCACTGACATGCCAGGTGATGTTGCCCTGGAGTGAGATGAGGAGAGCAATCTTCACTACTGAAGAGCATCCCACAGATTCCATGGAGGCCACTGAGCATAAGGATAGGACATTGGTAACCAGTAGGTGCCAGACCAGGGGACTCTCTCCTGACTGCAAGACGAATACCAATCTTGGTATCCATGCTGCTCCATAGGCAACCCCTAATGTGGACCAGGTGATAGAGATCGGGGGAAGATTCTGACATGGACACCTAGGAGTCTTGGGTTTCTGGGCATAAGGGCGGAGCCAAGCCTGAAGGTGTGAGCAACTGGTCTGACTCATCTGTCACCCAAAATGAGGGAGGGACTGGTGCTGACGATGAAAATGGCACTCTTGATACTGAGTGCATCTTCTTTGTCTTTGGTGTCAGGAATGAGGTTGGTACCGAAGTCAGCAGTGGTGCTGACAGAGGACAGAGAGTGTCACCATAGAAACATTGGCAGTGCAAAGTGCAGCACTGCTGAAGAGTTTCCTGGTGTCAAGGAGGTCACTTGTGCCGAGTCTGGCACTGTCCTCACTTCTACAGTTTGTGTCAGGGAAATATAGGGCAGTGCCGACAGACCTCAGGGTTCAGCACCCGTCCACACAGTGGGACTATAAATGTCGTAGCCCTGGCAAAGTCCTGGACCAAGGGAGAGCTCGAAATGTAAAGGCAGAGGAGGTTCGCTGCCACCAGATATGCTGCCGGGGTGGAAACAGCCAGTGCTGGCATCACCCTCATCGATAGTGGACTCAATGGACATCTCAGGATCAGAACCAGAGTCAACAGAACGAGGTCTCTCCCTTCCCTACATGGTACCAGGGAGCAGTTGGAAGGACCTGTTCTATCTTGCATGCCGGTCCCTACTCTTGCTGGAGGAGGAGGAGGAGGAAGAGTTTCCACAAGGCCTGAAGAGGTCCCGATTGGTCTAATGAGACCTTTTCCTCAGTGCATTAGATGGAGAGTGACTTCTCTGAATCTGAGGGCGACCTCTGATCTAATGCAGTGCCAAAGCAGGCCAACTGGCCTGCTTAAGAAGGTGCTCCTTAGGTGAAGGTCTATTGCCACCTGAGTCCATTTTGTGAATGATTTACAAATCAAACACTGCTCATTGATGTGGGCCTCACTCAAGCAAAACAAGCATCTTGTATGGGAATCATTGTTGGGGACCAGGCAGACAATGTTTGAATCCTGGTGAGGGCATCACCAGGGGAAAAGCTTAACTAAATCAAAGTAACACAAATAGTAGGGGTACTAACTAACTATATATAACTAGAATAAGTCACTAAAGAATAGAGGGATTGTGAGGTTAAAACAACACAGAGCTCCAACTCCAGCCCTGGGCAGTAAGAAGGAACTGAGGGGGGAATCAAGGCAGTACCACTTCATATAGACAGAGGAGGGGCTAGGGCCACAAGGAGCAAGTGCTGCGCCCTATGGGTACTGCTAGGCAAAATTCTCTGTCTCCAGTGCACTGGGCCTGCACACACCTAAGTAGAATACACGGCTGCATCTACACCAAGAAAAAATTGGAGCTACATGGTTAGCATCTCTTGGAATGCACTCTTCCAAATACATGAGTTCCACGGAAGGGAGCCCTTCAAACTTGCACCTGACACAATCCACAAGAGTGAGACTCAGTAAGATATAAAAGAATGATGCTCTCCTGAGCACCTTACAAAGTGGAGAACAACCCTCCTTAATCCCTTTGATCAGCCCCAGTACATTACAAATTGATTAATATGCTTTTATTCCTTCAGTATACTTTTCACTATGTTGAGTATCAGAGGGGTAGCCGTGTTAGTCTGAATCTGTAAAAAGCAACAGAGGGTCCTGTGGCACCTTTGAGACTAACAGAAGTACTGGGAGCATAAGCTTTCGTGGGTAAGAACCTCACTTCTTCAATTCACTCTGTTGCTTTTCACTATGTTGGTAATTCTCCCCTTCCTGCCCCCAAATGCATCAGAAGTGCCGTCTTTCTTCCTGTTCTCTCTAAAAGCCTATTGAAGAAAGCATGCCAAATGAATTGTACAAATACAGCATCAGTTTCTAAGGGGTCATATACTGACCAAATCAACCTCCTCATTGAGGGCTACTGCTATACTAAATTTTTTGCCTTTTTCGGCTGCGGTCCA